TACGTATAGTGCGCGTTAATGCCTTGCGTTGAACAGACTTTCACCAAAATCGCAAATATCCAATGCGAAAATATCAGCGGTTTCCAAATTTAGGTCATAATTTATGTGAAAATGATAAGCAAACTTTAAAAGATTATATATAATAAACTATGAGATCTGTCCCTTTAGTTGGGGGTTTTTATAACAGATGGGTCCTTCCAAGTCAGCGAAAAGCTTTAGGGCCTTGTAAATGAGCAATTTAACTGATATAGAAATTATAGTTTTAACTCATTCGTTGTTGACGTTTGTCAGCGTTAAGAGTCCTTTTCACGAAGAAAGCATTTTCTTTAAAATTCGTAGTTTTTTTTTTCCTTCAAATTTTTTCAGGGCCACAATTGATTAACTATAACTACCCGGATTCGTAATTTCATGGTCATTGAAAAACTATGACATTATCTTCTATAAGCCCGAACTTGAGTAAACATTGAAGATTTAATGGCGTTTTGGCTGAGTTTGTGCTTTGGAAGTTTTCTTTTGTTTCTAGTCTGTCATGATACAGCATTCTTGTTCAGCACGCGCGCAATGACCGCGCTTGGCTGACTTCCGAATGCACTATAACCACATGACATTTACTCCGATCGCGGAAACTTTTATGCTATATTGTACTATTATTGGATATTGTAAAAAAAAAAAAATATATATATATATATATATATATATATATTGTAGATTGATCTATGTGTTATCTATGCTATATGTTAGATTTACGATCAAAGTAAAAGTGGGGATACCAGAGAGCTTTAAAGTAGGATGGTATCCCCACAAAATAACTGGGTAGAGTCACGTTAAGCGAAAATGATTGTTGCCGATTCTATTTTAGGAGTAAACAAAGTTTGCCAAGTTAGCAAGGCGGTTTTTAGGCACGTAGTTTGCCTATATGAATCTATATGAATAGAATTACAAGGTCAGCTAGCAGCTTCCTGGGCACGTAGCAGGACTGTTTAATTGCCTAGTTTTTCACCTATAACAAAAGCAGACATCTTCCGAATTTGCATGTTAGCAAAACTTTTGAAATTCCAAATTTAGACGAAGCGACTTCTTTCGGAAGTAAATTAAGAACTATATTTGCAGAGAAACTACCTAATCTCTCAAAAATACTTCATAAAAACGAGCTATATTGCGCTTCACAAGGTGTTACAGTGAAAGGCGACTCTGTTGGAATAAACCTAATTAAGAAAATAATTATAAATTAAAGTAAAGCAACTGTTATTGAGAAAACCAATGTTTTTAGAAATCACTACTGAAACTGAACTGATACAATTTAATAATGTTAGAAATGAAACGGAAACCTAGTAAGTTTTTTCTGTTTGTACTATGAATAGGCCGCGGTTGGCTTTTGTAGGATTATTAAACAAAGCACAAGAAAGCATGAAAACAACGCATCTCAAAAATAGCACGAGTCGCGACGGCTGAATGCGGCTAATTGTAAACACAGCAAAATGTCTCATAGATGATATGAAAGCTAGATATGAAACTCGAGGCAAATAAAGAATTCATGGGAAATCTCTCCTTACACAGCTAAAAACACAAACATGGTTGAGATGGTCCAAAGGAGAGCTGCACGCTGGGTTCTAAATCGCTTCGACCGCAAAGATGGTGAAACCGAAATGCTTTCAACGCTGTAACGGAAGACACTGAGAAAGTAGACAAAACATAGCACGCCTACCGTAAATCCTCTATTAAGCCCTCCAGGGGGCTTATTTTTTTCAAGCACTTTTGAGGGGGGGGGGTCCTTAATAGAGGGGGGGGCTTAAAAGAGAGGGGGGGCTTATTTAATTTAGCAAAACGCATCCGGCACCTGTAGCAAAAATACCGTGGTATGGGACAGAGTAGACTTACGCGTTGTACAATTAAAGTCCCTGTCAAAAGTATTTAATTCACTTGTGGGAGCCCTAAAGTAACAGAAACAAAATTCTTATTCTTCAAAAATGTGCTTTCGGCCACATGTTCTTCGGTAATTTTTATGAATAAACCCTAACTGATCAGTCCACGTTAATCGTTAATTTTGGCTTAATAGAAAGGGGGGGTTATAAACTTTCTTCCTCTGAAAAGGGGGGATTTATTAGAGAGAGGGGGGGGCTTGTTTGAGAGGGGGGGGGCTTATTTGAGAGGGGGGATTAATAGAGGATTTACGGTATCTATGCTGTATAAAATGCGGTACTAGCTAATCTCTCACGATGGTGCCAAACTACAATCCTCTGGCCATTCGTACTCAACCCGCTCCATGGTAGAGTACTCTTACACACAGCCAACATACAAGTATTCCTTCTACCCATAAGGACAATTACTACAGAATGGAATAAACTCCCAAGGGATATAGCATTGTCCCATTCACTAGCTGCTTTTAAAAATGCAATTTCAGACATTTATTAACACTTATATTACTTTGCCCTCATAAGCGCCATTTCAGTCACTTTTTTTTTTTTGAGCGGTCTTAAATTCTCAGTATTGAGTGACAGACCTAACTGGTAAATAAAATCATGTCATCATGAATAAGATTAGAACGCCAACAAAAGGATTTCTTTAGTGAAATTCATTTCGAATTCGCGTGTTACTCTTTCTTTCTTACTCATCTGGAATTGAAATGATAAATTCGTTCATACACTCCCGTGGTTCCATTGAAAACCATCGTCGATAACCGATTCCAGACAAATACAGGCAAAGTCTATACCCGTTTTCAGATCGAAACCACACCCTGGGGCGGCACATACCTATATCGCTTATATAAATTCAAGTAAGGCAGGAAGACTTCAACTTCAACTTCAACTTCAACTTTATTCATTCACTTTCAATTTACAATTACACGATAGCTTCCACCCGAGTATAGGAGAGCCTAATAGAGGCGGGGAAGAGACACAAATTTAAAGAAAGAAAAGAAAAAAAGAACTATTTTACAAACAGTACCAGCTGTCGTAAGACCAGAGACTGAAGTCAGAGCGGCAAGCTATGAAGTTATGTAGGCCAATAGCTTTTCTGTACTCTCGAGATCTCTCTTTTATCCCTCTTTTTTTCTAAGTGAAAAAACCTTGTACTTAAAGTATGTGCAAGAATAATTATGATACTAATGAACAAAACTGAAAAGATTACTCAGAGGGGCTTCATCATGACAAAACGTAAATAGACTGTCTCTAAAATTTGGCTTAAATTTAACGAGCCTCACACAATGCAAACACGTTATTTTTACGATTTCTTTGCGTTTGTCTATTTTGAAACAGTTTCCTCTAGTCCCGACATTCGGCATGCCATACCATCTTGAACTCGTGCCAAGTATACGATTGGTCAGTCGATAGGCCTTAGTCGTTTTTACCCTCGAGACATATTCTTAAACGAATACGAACTAGCTTGTAATCTATGTGGGAGTGGAAGGCGGCGTCAGGCAGGCTGGCATTTTGTAAGCCTTTTCATTCGGCCAATTGGAATCAGTGGTATTTCAAAAAAGGAAAAAAATCTTGGAATCGTGGAAAGGAATCTACTTTTCTTGTCTTTCCTAGTCTCTCAAGCATTGAATTTATTGTTTGCCAAGCCATAACTTCGACTGACCGTACGTATTCCCGAATAAGAATAAATTAAAAATTATATTAACTCTATAAATTAATTATTCTGGAGTTGATTGCATTGCAATATCTAGAAATCTGCAGCTTGACTTAATATAATCCGCTGTGGGTAGCGTCAAGAGAGGATATCCTCTCATGATAGCGTTTAAGTGGTCCGAAATTACGACACTCATAAGAGATTTGCAACAATTCTTTTGCGTATTCTTATTCTGGAATACGATCAATCGAACTGACGGGCTCTTAGTTCGCGTGATGTTAGGAACCTCAGTTCGATTCACAGTTTGGCTCTGCCTGCATCTTCGGCATTTAATTAAACCGTCAGGGGAGTTATTTTGTGTTTATTCATTTTGACAATTTGTAATTCACCTGTCTGTGGCATTTTTCACGTTTAAAAACTGTCTTAGCAGTACGTCGCAGGGAAAAGGCGAACGTGATCTCATCAACTAGATATAGCTATCATTGTAAAAACTCATTTATTCAGTAAAATAATACGCTCTTAAGTTCGGTTTGCTTTTTAGAGGTCTTTGAAAAAAAGTCGCAGACTTTCTGTCCAATAAATATTTTATGACTAGATTTTCTTCTTTCGAAACGAGCGTTGTAACAATAGGCCTTTTGTATAGTTGATCACGTGATCAACTTTTCGCGAACACAGTTCACTTCTGGAAAATTTTGTTAGCAGGAAATGAAAGGGCGCATTAAATTTGGGTAACCTGTAAATTTTCAGCAGAATACCTCAAAAGTAGCGATTTCAACGGCCGCCGAAATTTAGAAGGATTTGTAGGTAAAAACAACCCTTGCAGCAGCCACGCTTACGGTTGAGTGGTTTAATTTTTTTTCATTCAAATCCTTGTATATATTGACAATATTGAAATTTTTAAGCTAGTATTATTAATAATAATAATACTTAATTATACTCTCCCCTAATAGGGCTTTTCAGAGATAATGAACCATGCCAATAATTCAAATGAAACATAATATGGCTAAGAGGCTCAACCGGTAGGACATTAGCCTGTTCAAGAACATTCGAGCACCCTAATGTTTAAGGAAAAATTTTACGACAGTTTGAAATTTTTGAAATCGTAGCAACAACAAGAGCAAGAAAAACATTCACAAAAATAATTAAATGAAAAATACAAAATAGAGGGGAAAAAGAAAAAGGGATGGGAGAAGCATATATTTTACTGTTAATATTAATAGCCATTTGGGTTCCGACATACTAAAGACATATTTGGCAAGTATAGGGCTCATTGAACACTGATATGAATAATTGTTTACGTTGGGGCTGTTATAACATTGAAGTTCAGATATGTAGTGACAGATAGAGTCTTGTATCGTTTAAAGATGACAGCAGCTTGGAAGGATAGTGCGTACGAAAAGTTATATTGTTCAGCCGAACATTTGACCGGAATGCGCGGGGAGCTAATATCTATATCAGTATTGAACATATTTTTGTCCCTGACGGCAATTATTGGGAACGTTCTGATCCAAGTTGCTCTTTACAAGGAGACTTCCCTTCACTCCGCGATGAAACTTTTGCTTCGAAGCCTTTCAGTAAGCGACCTACTAGTTGGTCTCATCTCAGTGCCTCTGGCTGTTACTTACTGGATGTCTGTGATCTTCGAGCATTGGAAGATTTGTCCCTTTGCCCTTGGTTCAACTGTTATAGCAAGTTACACATTGGGGCCAGTGTCCTTATTAACATTAACTGCAATAAGCGTGGACAGACTTCTCGCGCTAAAGTTAGGCCTCAGATACCGACAAGTTGTAACTTTGAAGCGCATTTTGGCGATTGTCATTAGCTTTTGGGTTATATCTTTCATTTCTGCGACGATATACCTTTGGGATTTGCATATAACCTTGTTGTGCGGCAGTGCCATTACTGGTCTGTGTTTAGTGACGTCAGTCTATTCTTACACAAGGATTTACCTTGAACTCCGCCATCATCAAATTCAAGTACAAGGCCGTGCGTCACATGAACAAGTGAGTCAAGAATATCCCCTGAACGTGGCGCGTTACAGAAAAGCCGTATCGAGTACCCTGTGGCTTCAGGGGACACTGATTCTTTGTTATTTGCCGATCGCTATAATCGGATCTATGTGGATTCAGAACTATAGTGAATTCTCCTCGTCTATGTATCTCGCTAGACAGTGGGCGGCTTCTCTCGTGTTCTTAAACTCGTCATTAAACCCAATCCTCTACTTTTGGAAGATTAGAGAAGTAAGACAAGCAGTAAAGGTCACAATCAAACATCTTTTCAGCCCATCGACGATGAATTAGCTCACCCTGACTTCAATAATGCTACTTTCAAGCCCGGGTGCCGGTTCTCCTAGGGATTTTTGGTGGGGGCGGGTGTGCCGCCTGGTCAAGTGCTGACCCTATTTGAGACCAAAAATGTCATTTTGCACCCGCTTTCGGACTTGGCCAAGGGAATGCAGAATGGCGGACAAACGGATATTATAGGACGCTAGGACGCCCCAACTCTGGAATACTGTTCATATGTGTGGGATTCACAGGCAGCTGTGACAGAAGGTTTTTCCACTTTCGAACGACTTTAAGGGCTAAACGTGAACTGTACTCGGGATTTGAACTCTGGAAACTGTCTTCTAGACTGGGGAAACTATATCAACTCAAATGTCAACTCGCTGGCAGGCAAGAGCCATCACCACTCTGAGCACCGGGACCAAACCACTAACTGGAATGCAGCAGAGAATAAAGCAAAGCTGACTTGGTTCCAAGAGCGTTTACTGTTCTTACAAGCGATCGAGGATGTAGTCAAGTATGTAATCAAGGATACCGATGCAATCGAAAAACACTAGAAACTAACTTATTCATATATCACTACTACAGGTATTCAACACAAAAGAGTACAATAGATATACAAACAAACTCGTTTGAAGTTAAGGTGACTCGACCCAGCAATTTTTTTTTTTGGGGGGGGGGGTACTCCTAATCAGTTGAAGCTCTCCGTGGTATCCCCACCTTTACTTTGATCGTAAGTCTAACGTATAGCATAGATAACATATAGATCAATCTACAAAATAACATAAAAGTTTTGGCGATCGGAGTAAATGTCACGTGGTTATAGGGCCACGCCTCTTTGGAGTCTGAGTCGAAACTCTTCTGTTGCCGGCATTTTTTTCGTAAAAATCTCGCGGCTACGTATAGTGCGCGTTAATGCCTTGCGTTGAACAGACTTTCACCAAAATCGCAAATATTCAATGCGAAAAATTCAGCGGTTTCCAAATTTAGGTCATAATTTATGTGAAAATGATAAGTAAACTTTAAAAGATTATATATAATAAACTATGAGATTTGTCCCTTTAGTTGGGGATTTTTATAACAGATGGGTCCTTGCAAGTCAGCGAAAAGCTTTAGGGCCTTGTAAATGAGCAATTTAACTGATATAGAAATTATAATTTTAACTCATTCTTTGTTGACGTTTGTCAGCGTTAAGAGTCCTTTTCACGAAGAAAGCATTTTCTTTAAAATTCGTAGTTTTTTTTTTCCTTCAAATTTTTTCAGGGCCACAATTGATTAACTATAACTACCCGGATTCTTAATTTCATGGTCATTGAAAAACTACGACATTATCTTCTATAAGCCCAAACTTGAGTAAACATTGAAGATTTAACGGCGTTTTGGCTGAGTTTGTGCTTTGGAAGTTTTCTTTTGTTTCTAGTCTGTCATGATACAGCATTCTTGTTCAGCACGCGCGCAATGACCGCGCTTGGCTGACTTCCGAATGCACTGTAACCACATGACATTTACTCCGATCGCCGAAACTTTTATGCTATATTGTACTATTATTGTATATTGTAAAAATATATATATATATATATATTGTAGATTGATCTATGTGTTATCTATGCTATATGTTAGATTTACGATCAAAGTAAAAGTGGGGATACCAGAGAGCTTTAAAGTAGGATGGTATCCCCACAAAATAACTGGGTAGAGTCACGTTAAGCGAAAATGATTGTTGCGGATTCTATTTTAGGAGTAAACAAAGTTTGCCAAGTTAGCAAGGCGGTTTTTAGGCACGTAGTTTGGCTATATGAATCTATATGAATAGAATTACAAGGTCAGCTAGCTGCTTCCTGGGCACGTAGCAGGACTGTTTAATTGCCTAGTTTTTCACCTATAACAAAAGCAGACATCTTCCGAATTTGCATGTTAGCAAAACTTTTGAAATTCCAAATTTAGACGAAGCGACTACTTACGGAAGTAAATTAAGAACTATATTTGCAGAGAAACTACCTAATCTCTCAAAAATACTTCATAAAAACGAGCGATATTGCGCTCAAGTTCACAAGGTGTTACAGTGAAACGCGACTCTGTTGGAATAAACCTAATTAAGAAAATAATTATAAATTAAAGTAGAGCAACTGTTATTGAGAAAACCAATGGTTTTAGAAATCACTACTGAAACTGAACTGATACAATTTAATAATGTTAGAAATGAAACGGAAACCTAGTAAGTTTTTTCTGTTTGTACTATGAATAGGCCGCTGTTGGCTTTTGTAGGATTATTAAACAAAGCACAAGAAAGCATGAAAACAACGCATCTCAAAAATAGCACCAGCCGCGACAGCTGAATGCGGCTAATTGTAAACACAGTAAAATGTCTCAGTCATAATGCATGAAAGCTAGATATGAAACTCGAGGCAAATAAAGAATTCATGGGAAATCTCTCCTTACACAGCTAAAAACACAAACATGGTTGAGATGATCCAAAGGAGAGCTGCACGCTCGGTTCTAAATCGCTTCGACCGCAAAGATGGTGAAACCGAAATGCTTTCAACGCTGGAACGGAAGACACTAAAAAGTAGGCAAACCATTGCACGCCTACCGTAAATCCTCTATTAAGCCCCCCGGGGGCCTTATTGTTTTCAAACACTTTTTTTGGGGGGTGCTTAAAAGAGAGCGGGGGCTTATTTAATTTAGCAAAACGCATCACCTGTAGCAAAAATACCGTGGTATGGGACAGAGTAGACTTATGCGTTGTACAATTAAAGTCACTGTCAAAAGTATTTAATTCACTTGTGGAAGCCCAAAAGTAACAAAAACAAAATTCTTATTCTTTAAAAATGTGCTTTCGGCCTCATGTTCTTCGGCAATTTTTATGAATAAACCATAACTGATCAGTCCACGTTAATCGTTAATTTTTTTGTGAAGACTAAGGATTGGGGAGGAGGAGGCGGGGGGGGGCTTAATAGAAAGGGGGGTTATAAACTTTCTTCCTCTGAAAAGGGGGTTTATTAGAGAGAGGGGGGGCTTATTTGAGAGGGGAGATTAATAGAGGATTTACGGTATCTATGCTGTATAAAATGCGGTACTAGCTAATCTCTCACGTTGATGCCAAACTACAATCCTCTGGCCATTTGTACTCAACTCGCTCCATGGTGGAGTACTCTTACACACAGCCAACATACAAGTATTCCTTCTACCCATAATGACAGCTAATTACAGAATGGAATAAGCTCCCAAGGGATATAGCATTGTCCAATTCACTGGCTGCTTTTAAAAATGCAATTTCAGACATTTATGAACACTTACGTTCTTTGCCCTCATAAGCGCCATTTCAGTCACTTTTTGTTTTCCCTTTTTTTAAGAGCGGTCTAAAATGCTCTGATCAGTGACAGACCTAAATGGTAAATAAAATCATGACATAATGAATAAGATTAGAACGCCAAGAAAAGGATTTCTTTAATAAAATGCATTTCGAATTCGCGTGCCGACTCTTTCTTTCTTACTCATCTGGAATTGAAATGATAAATTCGTTCATACACTCCCGTGGTTCCATTGAAAACCATCTTCGATAACCGATTCCAGACAAATACGGGCAAAGTCTATACCCGTTTTCAGATTGAAACCACACCCTGGGGCGGCACATACCTATATCGCTTATATAAATTCAAGTAAGGCAGGAAGACTTCAACTTCAACTTCAACTTTATTCATTCACTTTCAATTTACAATTCCACGATAGCTTCCACCCGCGTATAGGAGAGCCTAATAGAGGCGGGGGAACTGAGACACACAAATTTAAAGAAAGAAAAGAAAAAAAGAACTATTTTACAAACAGTACTAGCTGTCGTAAGACCAGAGACTGAAGTCAGAGCGGCAAGCTATGAAGTTATGTAGGCCAACAGCTTTTCTGTACTCTCGAGATCTCTCTTTTATCCCTCTTTTTTTCTAAGTGAAAAAACCTTGTACTTTAAGTATGTGCAAGAATAATTATGATACTAATGAACAAAACTGAAAAGGTTACTCAGAGGGGCTTCATCATGACAAAACGTAAATAGACTGTCTCTAAAATTTGGCTTAAATTTAACGGGCCTCACACAATGCAAACACGTTATTTTTACGATTTCTTTGCGTTTGTCTATTTTGAAACAGTTTTCTCTAGTCCCGACATTCGGCATGCCATACCATCTTGAACTCGTGCCAAGTACACGATTGGTCGGTCGATAGGCCTTAGTCGTTTTTACCCTCGAGACATATTCTTAAACGAATACGAACTAGCTTGTAATCTATGTGGGAGTGGAAGGCGGCGTCAGGCAGGCTGGCATTTTGTAAGCCTTTTCATTCGGCCAATTGGAATCAGTGGTATTTCAAAAAAGGAAAAAAATCTTGGAATCGTGGAAAGGAATCTACTTTTCTTGTCTTTCCTAGTCTCTCAGGCATTGAATTTATTGTTTGCCAAGCCATAACTTCGACTGACCGTACGTATTCCCGAATAAGAAT